TTGGATTCCAAACTGGCAACTCCGCGAAAGCCTCGAACGACCGATGATGAGCAGTCCTAAGTTATTCGAACAGCAGCCAGCAGACTAGAGCATTAAGTCCACGAGTGAATGCTCCAAAAAGATCTCGGTTATGTCCATCGAGTGTGCTGATTGACCCCTCGGCCACCGCCGCGCCCCGAATTTACCCTTCCCATCAATTGAATGGTTCCTTTTTAGTCCAGGGCAACGCTTCCTATTGAATTCCTAGCCAAGAAACGCTTTTCGCCAGTCGTCTGACTGACTGCTTTCTGACCTCATGTTCCAGAGGTATATACACAATTTCCGAAATCAGATCAGGAAAGGCCCATAAATCGTCGTCATATCAGATGGAACGTACGGATCTAGAAGTCGTCAGTGCCCGTCCAGACCGACGGAAATCTAGAGGTGCGCTTAACAGAAGACGATGAAGTTTTCCAGTCACATCCCACGCCCACCCCCCACACCGACGGTGACTTGCCGACGCCCATCCCTGCTATACTTACATTAAGACGAAAAAAAAACCTTCGAAACAATCACACGACGGAAGAAGACCTTCTCGAAGCCTGCACGAACTCGGGGGTTCCCCGTCTCCACCTATTAACGACTGGGGATATTACCATGTCCACTCTGGGCGCGCTTCCGTGGGGGGAGCATCCCATTCCATTCCCGTCGCAGGTTTCCGCAACTTCACCGCCAGCATCTCTGTGAGGTTTGGTCATTTCTCTCAGTTGGACTTTTTACCCTTCCTTCACGAGTCCTTCTGACTCTTGTGGGGGGGCATTCACTCCAACACACCAGACGCAGAGCATGAGGCTTCCCAGCACGGCCGGGGAGTCGTGACCCCTGCTTTCCGGGCGCCGGGCGGTCAGTACTCCGTACGGAAACTTGAATCATGATATGATGGCGTGGTGTCGACCTCGATGATTATGTAAATACCAAACACGTGACCCTCGGTGAGGTACCAGAGTGGTCGATGCCATCACGATATCACCAAGCAAAAAAAGGTGAATTTTTAAGCACGTCTGAATTCACAACTACAACGACAAGTAAGAAGAGTTCACCCCCTCCGGTGCTGAATTGGGGGCTACATCTCTTAGTGCTCATGCTGGGATTCGAACTCGGGTACTCTCGTATACGCTTAGCCTGTCGTCGAGTAGGCTGGTTGGCGATTTAATTGTTGAGCCATAAACCACTCCACCATCCAGCCAGTTTGACCTGACCCGTCATCCTAGACGGGCGCCTGCTGGCTGGTGACAGGAATGGGATTGAGGGGGGTATATACCCTTCTTCTCTTCAGGTCGTGGCCATGGCCAGTGTGGGAAGGTACGGTCAGCCACTGCGGCCTGCAGTCACGTGGGTGTATATACGCATCCATGGATTTCATGTATTCCATTTGCTCGGGTACCCACTGGCTCCTTCAGATCATGGGGCCAGAGTTTTCTCCTGCCTTGACAGTTAAGCCTTGGGCGAGTGAGATCTCATGCCGTCAGGCTAGAGAAGTGATACTCAAGGAGGCAGATTGCTACTGTACGGATACCTGGGTGTAAGTGGCCACACCGGGAGTCGTGATCTTGTGTCAAAGGCAACGTAGCCCCTTGGCCTACTAGAAGGGTTTGAATTGCCCTGTTTCGAATCTTTCTAACCATGTCCAGACAGCAGGCACTTGTCCTTTCCTCCCGTCTTCCTGTCTCCCTTTAGCAAGTAGTCATCGATGAGACTGCGAACCGAAGGGAGGGCAGAGTACACCAACCTAGCCGACGTTCGTCCGCTCCTAGCTCTACTCTCTGGAACAACTTTCCTTTTGCATCTTGGGTTCCGTATAGGGCGGTGTTTGGCACGATAACCCAGTCTAGGTATTACTGTCTCTTAGCCGGAGCTGCTTTGGTCAGGAGTGCGATTTCTTCTGCCCACCTCGATGGTAGTGATGCTGTCAAAGTTCGAGAGCCCTTGAGTAAAAAGATACAGGTCTATCATGATATATCCTTAGAGGTTCGAGGCTCCGAGTGGACTCAGATAATGCTCTCGCTTGATGGCGATCCGGTACCCCTTGTTTATTCGATAAGCTATCAACACGAATAGTCACGCAGCGAGGAACAGTGATCACTGTGACAAAGAAAAGCTGAGTTGGAGACCAATTGCCCTCACCCTAATGGTGCATTCCACGCAGACGTGCGAGTGCCGCCGCTGCACACGCCACTTCGTCTGGTGCTCCATCCGTCGGTCACATCACCGGCACCGTGGCACCCATCGCCTATATGGCCCCCTGGGACAGACACATCACCCAAGGTCGCTCGACTATGCTCTCAATTGAAAAAAGAACCAACTAGTTTCACAAGACTACAAAGGGTTTAAATGGTACGCAAAGAAAGTCTTCCCCCATTTATTCACGAGGAAACTTTATACATCCACACTCGCCGTTAGGAACGAATCGAGAGCACAGGCTAAAATAAAGGCGTCCTGGCTGTGAGAAAGAGCCAATGTCCTTACTGTCAAAGATCCCTAGACGGGGCTCTGACTTGTGCCGTTTAAATGCGAATTGTGCTTTCTCCCAGCCATTGTTGATGAGTCTAAGGAGAAGGGACAACCATCTCACAGTCACCGTTCAGAATGTCAAGTTTCCACTCGACTTTCAGGAACACCCTTCTCTCGTCATCTTTTCCTCGGAGGGATTTCTTGATATAACTTCGGTAGTTTCACAATATTCAATACGAACAAGCCCTCGCCCCCCTTCCGGGCTACAGGGCAAGAATCTTGAGCTGCTACTTCGATGGGAACACATCTCATCAAGTATCCCAACGATCGTGAATCGTCTCTCTAGAAGGTAGACGATCATTCTATGAGAAAGGGTGATGCTGCACACGATATATACAGTAGAGGAAGCCGCCGGGAGGGGGCTTTCTGTTACATCGCCAGGTAAGAAAAGGCAAACGAGAAACTGAACCTGGAGGGCATCTTCAAGACTTCTTGTCTAGAGAAGAGAAGGATTGGGCGACCGTGCTATCCTTCTCGAGCAGCCAGCTCACCGATTGATATGTATTGTTTCCTGAGGCCTATCAGTCCCAACGAACAGTCGGCCAAGCCCCGTTATTTAGTACGCTTTGAGCTCTTTGCGCCTTGCTGCATCCGGGCTACTTATAAACGAGGCCGTTCCGGAGCATTCAATGCGTAGGTGGATTATGTATTCTGTGTGAATTGGGATCGACCAGTAAGTATGCCCCCAGTCCCAGCATGAGTATGACTTGATGCCCGGGTTCGACAGATTCTCGTGAATCTCCTGAATCTATTAACCCCCCCTCAGATACTCGAGAGACTACATAAAGCCCATCTCGTCGAAACTTGCCTCCTCCCCCCACCCAGAAACAAGACGATGAACCAAGAAGGAAAGAAAAAATACGAAGAGTAGACGCCCACAACTAACAGCCACATGTGGTAATGAACAAGCGCATAGTATACATACATACACGCCCTCCAAGGGCTAGGCACGAGGTAGGGTTCAGAAACCTCCAGTACCATCCAAGGTATCGAGCCACAAGCCCCCTCTAAAAAAACAAAAGAACTCAAGCTATGCCAGTCAATTTCTTTCCAAAAACCTTGATAGTCAGTTCCCTTTAAGCGCAGTGGCTTTCCCCATGCCCCTTTCCAGTGGCGTCCAGCCGTAGTCGTGGCGAAAGACACAAAAGGACACATTTGTCAACAACCCGGGCCTACTTGACGTCAAAACTGTCATTCCATGTGGCATGGCCGTACGGGGGACATGAACGTGAAGGGACAGCCGGGTGGATCCAATTCAGATTTATTCAGGATGGAAAAGTAGAGTATATCAGAGCAAATGCTGCTCTGCGAAAGAAGGGATCGAATTGGGTCTTGAGCGCATGTCAGATATCATTTCGAGAGGGAGCTGGGACACCCGATGTATAAGTATACATAATCACTCAGCACGGCACAGCATGCGCATCACCGGGAAGACAAGGCTACACTGCTTTTAACTTTCTTGGGCCTGCTGGGCCTGAGGGTCCATTCCTCTACCTAGTCGAGTCTGTCTAGAAGAGCCATTGTGCCACCGCCACGGTGGTACATCAACCCGCGCATGACCAGTTAAGAACGCCCCTCTGTGTGGGCTTGAGACATGAGGGACCACAGAGCCGAGAACATGGCCTCTTGTAAATGTCCGTCGACGTCTCATCTGAAAATCGATCCTTTTTTTTTTCTCGGATGTGTTCTGTACAGAGTAGAGAGAAATCCCCACAAGACAGGTTGAAAAAGGGGTTTGCCTGTCTGCCCCCCAAAAAAAAAAAAAAAAAAAAAGAGTTGGCCACCCCCATTCCCGCTGGCCAAATCAAATCGTGCGATTCATCGTCTCGTCCCCCCTTAGTAGCCCATATCCAGGGTGACATTGGCCACTAGACTTTGGGAACATGATTGGTCCAAAGCGGATGTCTTGATCCAATGGGAAGAGAGGGTTGCGCATATGCAACCCAAGTCTGACTTTGAAGGCAGTTGCCGAGTCCAGAATCGTGGTCGCCTCCATGTAAATCGAAGAGAGAAAAGCCGTCACATAAAAGGGCTTTGCCTGATCGCCAACATGCTGAATGATGCTGCGTGTGCAAGCCGTCGAGAAGAAGAAATGTCAGAAAGTCCAAGCCGAAAATGGTTCAGAGCCCTGATGTGGTATCTTGAAAGCAAGTAGAGTTATGATTGGGGTCGAAAGGCGGCTAAGCCAAGGCGCGGGCACACACTGGTTTCCTTAAGCATGCCGTGAGCCAAAGTGGTTGACCAAAGGAGGACCAAAGTTGTTGTGCAGAGCGGAGGTGGGAAACGACCTCAAGCCGGGTGTGTCGTGGCCAACAGTATTTCCTGGGGTATCTTAATGCACAGGTAAGGGGCAGCCCCATTTTGGATGTATGTTGTCGTCAAGGTCGTGATTAATGTCGATGTTTCAACCGCTTGAAGATATTCTTGGGTGAATGGCCAAGGGAGCCCTCCTACTGTCCCTTTCTAGCCTTTTCAGCAAGCCGAGCTTCTCTCGCGGCACGCACCAATGGCGATAATTGAGAAAGGTCAACGCAGCCCTTCATGAACTCGTGCTAAAGAAAGGTCAGTATAAGGCTATCCTTGAAATCTCGAATATACTCACTCTAAGGAGGTCATGCGCGCTGGCTCTCTTCTCAGGGTCGACTTTGAGGGCAAAGTACAGGAAGTCTCGGAAGACTGCTGACAAGTTGGACTCCTCCTTGATGTGGGGTGTGCCGTTGGTAGCAATCAGCCACAGCGCTCTGAGAGGTGATTCTGTCAGGTATGGCGGCTCGCCCTCAATCATCTCGATGGCCATGATGCCCAGAGACCAGATGTCCACCTTGCGCCCGTACTCCTTACGCGTGACAACTTCAGGGGCCATCCAGTAAGGCGTGCCAACCATAGTGGTACGCTTATTTTGGGCCTCGTTGATGGTTGCGCAGAAACCGAAATCGGCTACTTGGTGTTAGTTTGGTTTGGCCATGGTATCAAATATCGCTCGAAACTTACTCAGCTTGATGTTGCCTTCCATTGACAAGAGAATGTTGTCAGACTTGATATCGCGATGGATGACTCCCTTCGAGTGCAGATGCTGCAAGCCCTTAAGTGTTTCTCTGCAAACGGAGGCAATTTGTCCCTCGGTCATGATGTTGAAGGTGACAACGTCAGTAAGGCTGCCGCCCTCCATGAACTCCATCACAACCCAGAGCTCACCTCCGCAGAGGAAGCTGTCAATGAAGTTGACAATATTAGGATGCGAGCTGTCCTTCATGACAAGGATTTCGTTGATGATGAGATCCTTCTTGGGTTGCTGTTCGAGATTCATCTGCTTGATAGCGACCAGACGGTTGGTTCCTCGCTCGTAGCCGGTGTACACACCGCCTGACGCGCCTTGTCCAATCTTGTTAAAATTCTTGTAGACTTCGCGAGGATCGCCGTCGGAGCAGATGCGCTTCAGTGCAGCGACAACATCGATACCGGTGCTCTGGCGGGGTCGGTGCCTGGGTCGGGAACCAGGTGCGCCAGGCACACCAACCTGCTGTCGCTGGCCGGGACCACCGTTTGCCGTGGGACCCTGAGCGTACTGGTGCTGCGACTGGGGCGGAGTCGGCTGCTGGCCGGGCTGTCTCTTGCTCGGGGCACGGCTAATCTGACCAGACATGGCCGCTTGGGCCTGGGCTAGGGCCTGTTCTTGCTGTTGCTGCATGAGTTGCTGCTGGTAAACGTTCGCCTGGGCAGTCTGCGGGTTAGGCGTGGGGGGCACGTAGGCGGCGGGGGCGCCGGCACGCGAGTTGGATCGGGATCGGGATCGGTGCTCTCCACGATGCTCTTCGGGTAGCATGGGAACGTTGCTCTCCTTGGGCGGCTGATAGGCGACCGGGGGCAGGTCCTCGGCGGGCTGAGACATTCCAATGCCGGAGTCCTTGCCGGGATAGTTGGAGGGGGCGGTCCTCATCGACGAGGGCATGCTGACGGGGGGCTTCGGGGCCGGGCGGCTGGGCATCAGGTTGATGTCCTTGCCGGAGCCTTTGCCTCCCGAAACTCCAGGGACGGGCGGCGGCTGGCGGGGGTTTTCGAAAGATCCTTCATGATTGACAGTTGGAAACCTAGGGCTCGCAGGTGGACTGATCATTGGTGACATACCCATATAAGTGGTTGGCGGATACATGCCCGGCGACATGGCACCCGACGGCGAGTTCGCGTTTGCATACTGACGGTAGTCAGGCGCTCTAGCATCGTGGAATTTCTCCAAAACTTGATCCTCGGCTGGCTTCTCGGTCGTTTCCTTGTAGAATGTGATGATGTCAACCATGGTCTGGGGGTTCTCCCTGCGTTCCTTCTCGGGAATTCCACTCTCGTTGATCAATCTCTGCCATTCTTTGGGGAGACCCTGTGTCATAGAGAAAAAAAAAAAAAGTCAGCCACACCAAGTACACGAGGACAAAGAGGAGAAACAGAAACAGGGAACGAGCAGAAGCTCAAATAGACAGGAGAGCAAAAACATGGAGCTGGGGGAGATTGAGGGCCGACTGACGGTGAACTGGCCAGTAGAGCTGTCGTAGCCGACGTGGGTGACATGGACGGGGTTCTCAGGCGCCGAAATGACTGGCTTCTTTGGGGTGCCGACGAGGCTGTTCATGAAGCCAGAGAAGCCCGACTTCTTGCGCAGGACGCCCATGCGGGGCTCCTTTGCCTCGTCCGAATATCTCTTGGGGCTGATCATTGAGTTCTCCGTCACCCGTCCACCTTGTGATTTTTCGTTCATCATGGAGGAATCGTTCGTGAAGCTCTGGGACTGTCTCAGGGCGGGGCCCTTGATGCGCGAATCGGTCGCCGACTTGATGAGCGGGGCGGGAGCGTTTTGTCGGTGGTAGTTGGGGGTGTTGAAGTGAGGAGGCTGACCGGCGACAGGCGACTTGGTCTGCTCGATGCGGTTCAGAACCGCAGCACCGTCAAAGGGAGCGCCGATGAATTCGTCGTGGGGTTGTGACGACAAGGGCGAGGGAGCGGCGGGATCGAGCGGGCGATCGGTGCTGTGGGCGATGCCGACGGCGAAACCGTTACCTACGGGACTGTTGTTGGTGTTGTTGTTTTGGTAGAAATTGTTTTGGTGATTGAAGTGCAGCTGATGGTGGTGAGGAGAAAAGGCGTTGGTGTGGGTTTGGGCGTGGCCGTGAGCAGCAGCAGCAGAAGCGCCAGCGGCAGCAGAAGAAGCGTGGAAGGTGGAGGAGGAGGAGGAGGAGGAGGAGGTCTGGGCCTGAACGTGGAGCTGGGGGTGGTGGTAGGCAGTTGGGGAAGGAGCAGCAGAAGCAGCTCCGGCGGCGAACTGGCCCTGAGGCAGAATGGGGGAAGGATTGGGAAGGTGCGTCTGACTTGATGGAAGATGACGGGGCGAGGAGCTGTTGGAAGCGGCAGAAGAAGCAAGGCCGGGTAGAGGAATACCAGAACTCTGAGCCGAGCCAGAAGCAGAAGCAGAGGCAGAGGCAGAGGCAGAAGAATAAGCAGCAGCTGGCGCGTTTGAGGGGGTCGTCCGGGCTGGTGGAGCGGAAGGAGCGCGCTTCAGCGAGGTAGAGCTGCGTTTGCTCTGGAGAGAGAGGGCGTCGATGCCACCATCGAGACCGCTCGAGGAACGGGTGTGTTGCTGGTAGGACGAGGGCGGCTTCTTGGTGAGCCTGCGACGTTGGGAGGTGCCGTTGGAAATAGTCGTGCTCTGGCTGCTATCCATGATACACCCTAAAAAGCCTAAAACGTCGAAGAAAGGGAAAGGAAGGGAAAAAAGAGGGTATGAATAGAGGGTGTGTGAGGAGGAAAAAACTCGGTACGGGCACAATGCGATGCTGTCTCCCCTTGACTTGTGCTCGAGACGTGGAGTGGACGGCGGGAGAGGTACGCACGCGGCGGCGACGGCGGTGGTAGTGGTGGTGGTGGTCTGCTCTGAGAGTCTCTGAGTCTACCGTCTCCCGTCCTCACGTTGAGGTGGGTGATAAGGCTTGGAAGGCAAGGTATACTGAGGCGTGTGGAGGGGCCAGAGGTACCAACAGGAAGGGCGGAGGAGGCAGCAAAAACACAAGTACAGTTGCAGTGACAGCCGTGTCTCGAGACTTTTCGAGTCGGGGAGTGAACCGGGAAGGCGTGCAAGACAGAGGGGGGAGGGAGAGCGGTTTAGCCTTGGTCTTGGTCTTAATTAGCAAGCAGCGGCGGTAATCGATCCAAGCATAAGGTAAGGTACCTTAAAGTAAGGTATGGACCGTATGGGAGGGTAGGTACCTAGGTACTTGAGGTGGTGACCACTATCCACTGGCCCAGTAAAGTACAGTATAAAAGCAGGTAGTAGGCGCTGGGTCGCAAGCTTCGCAGCAACTTCTGTGCTTGATGGGACCGGGACACGCTGACTGTCACTGGCTGAATGGAGACGAAAGAAGTGGATTCTTGGACCGTATGAGGTGAGGTGAGGTGGGCTGCGGAGCGAGGAGTTGAAGTGGACGACGACGGAGCGACGGGGGATTGTTTTACTGGGACCCGGAGCTGGCAAGATTCGAGAAAAGCTGGAACTGGGGCAAACCGCCAGCAAGCCGGCCAGCACGACAACAAATTCAGTACAAAGTACGAACAGGAAGATAATTAGGTGCTAGTGGAGTGAGCAATCAACCAAAGGTGGATGGAAGCGCGGGCAGTCAGGCCAGGGCAGGAATGGATTATGGGACTACCTTCGCTGATTACCTTGGTGCTGCCAGTGCTGGTCGAATTTGCTGCGAACCAAGGGAATGTATCATGTATCCGTAGTGTACATGCAGCGGCGGGGGATAAGACGAGACAAGACTGGGCTGGACTGGGCTTGGTGGGACGCAGGTTGCGCGGTACAGAATCACAGTAGAAAGACTCGCGAATTGCAATCCAATCCAGCTTGGTCGTGCGTCAGTCAGTGACTTGCTTTCTTCACGGGCTGCAAGACTACAAGAGACGCAGGATCCAGGAAGCAACGTCAGTGAATACTGTGACTGTGACTAAGGTACTAAACACTACCGGGTGGAGTTGGAGGTTCCATTCTGCTTGTTCTGTTCTCCTTCTTCGCGTGTTTCCCAGTCTGTTTTGGTGCTTGGGAAATAAGAGCGGGTCTATATGGAGTACGTACTCCGTCCATAGATTTAAGTGGAAGAGGCACGAGAGGGACCGACTGGAAGAGGTCAAGTCAAGTGGGCAAGAGCCGTGAGGTAGTGTAAAATGGGCGTGGCAGCTGGTGGGTACGAAGTAGGTATCGGAGGATGAAATGGACTGGACGCGGACGGGCTGCCTTAGCCTGGGGGCCGTGTGGCCGTGTGGCCGTGGCCGTGTGGTGTGGTGGTGTGGGAAAAGGTGGAGACGCCGTGGAGTTGAGCCTGTGAGGTGGGGTCTCATCCGGCAACGTAAGGTACGTATCTTTCCTGCCTTGCCTCCCATTTCTTTTACCATACCTACTCCTCCGTACCTACCTACCTGCCTTACGGAGTACTCCCCAAGATGCCTCTATGGATACGCTTTGAGATGACAGAGCCCTGGCTGCAGGACTGGATGGGAGGGGCACACACTTTTCACCTTGACCAAGGCACGAAGCCTTGCTTTCAGACTTCAGATGGTGTCCGACAAGACTCCAAAGCAGGAAACACAGTGTGTATCCGTAATAACCTGTCTCCAAACGTCCTTGAAGCCCACGCTGCAGTATCGCGGTTATCCATCCTGAGCCTCTGACTAACTAGCCTTCCAAGATGCTGGTGTCATCGTGCCCCAATGCCTATCTTGAAAAGGTTCAAGCTTAGGAAGTCATTCGTTTGATAGCACATACGGCCGAACTCTGAAAGGAAAGGACGACTCGACTTGCCAGCGAGCGCGAGCGCTTTCCCTCCTGATTGGCCGCGACACACAGCCGACTGGCCGACTTGTGATGCGTGCTAAGTGCTGGAGATGCGCTGCAGTCCAAAGAAGAAACTTGTACTTTTGATCCGCCTGCATGTTCCTCTCATAGTGTAGCCCAAGGTAGCCATCGAAGCTGTACTCGAAATGACCTCATCTCGGGACTGACTTTTGTTCCAGCCTGACTCCCAGTGTCCACGCATACACCCGTAGACTGAGACTGAGACCAAGACGGAGACGGAGACGGAGAAAGGCTCGTCGTTTTTAGGCGCCTGCGACCAGCTTCTTTTCTTATTCTTCTTTCCAGACGTATCACCAAAATCGTCTCTGCGAGCTCATATCCCGACATGGCCGATCCAGCGAAGTGGCTGGGCCGTTGTTACTTGTCAGTAATACATCCAGCGGCCCAACCAACAGTCGCAATTGAACAGGTGACACCAAGCAATCGACGCCATTTCCTTCACAGTGCCTGGCAGTAGATGACACTGTCGACCATATGCCCTGTCGTGTGCCCCTCATCGTCATCATCATCGCCGGGAAACTTCCAGTGTCCCTGTATCCGTACCTAGGCTGTCTGAGCAAGGCTACCTCGGGCAAAACTACGCGAGACGAGCTTGCTCCACCGGCGGCGGAACAGCTTCCTTTGAACACGGAGGTGAGGGGACTCGCACTTGCAGGTCCCTATATCAAGGACAGGAGATGGAAATGGTGTCTCCTATAGAAGCAGCCAGGGGGGCGTGTTCGTAGTTGTGACAGATGTGCATCGCACAACACCTCGTACCCCAGAATAGAATGCAAAGTATTTTAGCAACAAAACCCCCGAGTCTGAGCTTTCCTCGCCCTGCTGGTGGACTAAAATGATAATGCAGACAGCCAAGGTACGGATAGACAGGTTGATTGACTTCCACTTACCCCAAGTATCATCTGTGTGCTCCCCGAGGCTCGACGTCGAATCGCTGGCGTGTTTGGGAGGGTAGGAGAGAGAGAGCCGGGGCAGAGACACCGGCGCAGGCCCTGGGCCGCGTCTGTGGTTCAAACTGATTGCTTTCGGGAAGAAGCACAGCGGGCCCCAGCTGAGAAGTAACAGCAACCGGGAGCAAAGCAACCAACAGCGAGCTCGAGAGCAGAGCTACGGCAACTACCATCAGCAACACCCGCGAGGTAGCTTGGCCAAGGTGAGGTAGCTAGCTATGCTGCTTGTTGCTTGCTGCTCTCTGTGCTTCCTCACATAGTTGCAGTTGCACCGTGCCTTAAAGTTGGGGGTTGCTTTAGGTCGACATCGGTGCTGTGCATCTCCAGCCCGCGCCCGTGCCCCATTCAGTCGACTCGACTGTGCTTGCTTGTGTGCTTGTCTTGTTTGGAGCCTCATACCTGACGGTCGATCCTTGGTCAATCTCAGGTGCGAGATGGGTGGCTCTGGTCAGTGCCACAGTGGTCGACGGGACTCGCTGATCGCATGTCGGCTCTAGCCTAACGGGCTGTTAAGTTGCAAAAGTAGTGCGGGCATGCAATGCGGTAGGGAGAAGCCAGGGTATTCGGGGGTCAGGGGTCGGGCTCGCCGTCGCGGTCAGGTCAGTGGGGAGGGAGGGGAGAAAGCTGAAGCACCAAGGGTCTTGAATCTAACCTGGAGCAAGAAAAACAAGAGGGATAGAGTCCTCCATGTCGTCTCGGTATGGAACGGCCAAGTGTGCATTGCATTGCTGCGAATCCAGTTCCGTACATAGGTGCTGTCTGACCCGGCAAGTTGGTGTGGCAGAACAGGAACTCGGAAGCTGGGCGAGCGACGTTGCCTGCAGCTCCCGTTCTGGCAGTCTTGGAAGCTCGGAAAGTTAATTGCTTTGCCATTGCTTACGAAAAGGCTCTCGTATGGGCTGACTGACGTAAGTGATACAGACAGCAATGCATGTCTGGTTCGCGCAAAGCGATGTGTAGAAAGAGCACTGTATGTATGCGGAAATGTAGATAGTAGGAGCGTATAAGGTTAGGCAAGCATGCAATGCTGGATTATAATATCGAGGAGAATGCCCGCTTCGGTGCCATGTTTGATGGAAGATGATGTGAGGATTGTTCCCGTCTATGATACCTTGGCCCGTGGTGGCCGGCGGTTCGGCATCCCCTGGCGCCTAAACAATGCATTCGAGGAAGGAGGACACCAAACGAGGATCGATATTGAGAAGGAGGGGGAGGGGAAAGGGAAAGGGCCGGAAGGGAGGACGGAGCAGAGGGGGAGGGCAAGCGGAAGTGAATTGGGGTCGAAACTCGAAAGGCAAAGAAAAAGAGAGAGGGAGAGAGACGAGATGAGGGCGTTTGCTTTTTTTTTCTTTTGCCCGAGCTTCTTTTCTGAGGTGCTTTGAGCCTTGGGTTGTTTTGTTTGAACTGACTTTATTTCGCGCCGGCAGGGAGATGCTTTCTTGTTGCGTCGGGAATGTCCCAGCGATTGCGACCGTATGGACAGAGATTTTGTCGTACTGGGCTGACATGACGTTGGCACCCAAAAGAAGCACCCGGGAATAACACTTATCATGGAGAAAAAGTCAGATGAGGCCATCTGTACAGATAGAGGTAGGTAGTCACGTACTTACTTTTGCGTGGCTTCCAATTCATTGACACCTTGGTGATGGGGAGAAGGTACATACAGCCCTTCATGATGATGTAGGTACCTAGCGAAAGACTTTCAGTCAAGATACGGCGCACCTAGGTTCCTACCACACATTCGTCGGTCGTGGGCATTTGGTGGTTTGGGCTCTTCCTTCCGGATAGCCTCTTTTCATCCGTATCGTCCAGCAGGGGTATGCCGACCAGGACTCTCACCAACTATGCGTTGTCTCTGATCATTAA